TTAACTTTAAGCCATTGGCAAGAACTATAGGCTTAAAACCATTGGGAAGATTATTATTCCTTCAGTAATATGCAGATGACATTTTTATCTGAAAAATGAGAGAGTGGAAAGAATGTTTTTGTTTTGAAAATATCTTAAAAAAACTCCCTTTGCCTTGTGCCCTTGATTATAAAGCCCCCTACTCACCAGAAATTCCACGTGGGTGTTTTGAGTGAGCATTAAATATTAATTACTTTCCTCCCCCAGTGGAAGGGTCTCTGCTTCTGCATTCTTTGGGCTAAAAAGCCACAATTCTCTGCTTCCCTGCCACAGAATCAGGGCAGATTATCTTATTCAGAGAATGCAGAAATGCCCGAAACAGACCTTGAGACCAAAAGCGATAAAGTTTTCAATGATTTTTTTTTAAAGATAAAAGCTAAAGTCCTGTAAAACTACTTGCACAAAAAAGTGTGCATTTTGAACAACTTTAAAGAACCCTTGAAAACAAAACTTAATCCAGCCAAACTAAACTTAGAATTCAGTCAACACTTTTCTTGTTTTGAGTGAAAAGTAACTATTTCTGAAGGAAATTCCGTGTTCCAACCTTCTGTGCCGTATCAGATGCCCCAGTTTGCCAAATCACCAATTTTAACCACATGGCAGTGCACAGTAAGGCAATGTGGATCATAAAGCCTTAATTGTAGTTGGACTGAGCTCTTAAACCTGTCCTACAATTGCAGGCACTGTTCATATCTGCATAATTCATTGTTTGTCAGTACCTTTAATTTTAATTTTAAGTGGCCAGGGAAGTTTAGTCAGCATTAGTAAGCGTAACTGGGAAGCACATAGCAGGGAGGGTTAGAGGAATTGTTTCAGAATCCTGAATTCACAGATGGTATAGCAAGAGAAATGTTGCACATGATTGTTTTCATAACGCGTGGCACAGAAATGCTCACACCAGTAGTTTTCAGAGCACTGCACAGCTGGCCAGATGCTGATTTCAGTTACCAATTGAATAACTTTGCTCTGTGACAGGAGCCATCTGTTACTGCTCAGGGTTCTGCTCTTGCTAGAGTTTCATACAGACCTTATGCCTAAAAAGTTTACTAAATGTACTGTGTCCTAGCCTGGGACTCTCTGCCTTCTTTTTCTTGGCTCCTTTGGTTTGGGATTCTGCCGCTGTCTTCGGAGCAGGTTGCCCACCATGGCCTTTTTCCGCTTTCGATCCCTTTTGTGCAACAGCATTTGAAGTTGAGTACTTATTGCAAAGTTCTTATTTGGTTCATGAAAAACATTTAAACACTCATACATGTAGTATTAAACCCAAACATTTCCTTTTTGCCCTGGACAACAAATTATGTTTTCTTCTAATTACTCGGTTCTCCTTAGACTTTCTTTCACGAGTAGTGAAAATAAATATAAAAGCTAGGGCAATCCAGTTGACTCAAAATTAAATCACAATTTCTTCCCAAATGATTCATTAAATTGAGACTCAAATCCCACAAAGACTGAGACTTCTGTATTTAAATTTATGAGTAACCAACTGAATTTGGGATTTATAAGTTTAAAATAGGCATATATATAAAACTTTGAAAATACCTTGATTCTTTTTATTGCAGTATTATAGGGATTTAAAAATGTTTTGCATAATGCATTATTTAGGAAAAGGGTAGTATGAATATTCATAATATATGCTACATAAGATATTTCAAGTTTGTACTAATGTTCATGAAATTAGTTAAAAATGAAGGTATCAAAAATAGTAATGAAAGGCCGATACTGAAAGTGTTGAATGAGCACTGCTTCCTTTTCATTCCATTCTAAACATCTGCAGGAGGCACTTGTTTTGGGAATTATCACCCACTGATATTTGAGACTGGATCTCTAAAAAACTAGGCAGCACATTGAGAAATCCACTACAAAGGGCTATAAAATAAAGAAACATTGATAGATGTCTATATGGGAATAAAGCAGTATCAGGCTATTTTTAAAGAGTGGTAATAGACTACCTGCAGCTCAATGCAGACTAAATTACCCTGCGTAGGGTAGAGGTGGGTCTACTCAGATACATGACTTTTCTATGAGTCTTGGAAAAAATTGAGTAACATTTGCTAAAATGTTCCATATAACTTTTCACAGCATTAGAAAAAATATTTTTTTAAATCATAATTCAAGTACCTCCTCAAAACTTCATTCTTCAAGTCGCTGTTGTCTCCCCCTCACCCCCCTGCCCCTCAATCTTCACAACCCTCTGCATTTATCAGCGGAGGAAAAAAGCTTAAGTTTTCATGTCATGAACAATAGGGTTTTTTCCCTTCCTTCCTCACCATACTTACCTTTTCAATAATAAAAAAGGAGGGGGACACAAAAACACAAGTTTCCAAGGTTGCTTAACTGAGCTTCAACATACAAACAAGTTAACACAAGAGTCTCCTCTATGGTAACTGCACTGTACATATATATGCTCATAACATATGACTAATCACAGATAATATGGGGTAACATTCTTCACTCTTCAGTGTCTCAGTGTCAGGTTTTAAAGCAGTTAGATGCCTTTGATTACCTAGTACAAAAGAGGATGTAGTATTTTTTACTTACTACTTGCTAGTATCCTGGACATCATTCAGATCTCCCTTAGGCAATTTATGTCCTGATTTAATTAAGAGTTAGGCCAATATATAGTGAAGAAACACAAATTTTAAAAGTTATATTTCAATGACAAATGACTCAAGTGTTCACCCTCCAGGTAATTAGCTTGTCCCTTTGCAAGCTTCATTCTGTTTTCTTTTACACTTGAGCAAGGCAAAAATAAAAGCTTCTAACCAGTAAAAAGCTTTAAAATGAGTTGACAAAAATTTCCAGGAACTATGGAAGCATGAAGAGACCCAAACTGCAAAGAACCAATCAGCCTACGGTATTTACAAAAGCATCAAGCACTGTGGTTAACCACAACTAATAGGGTAGGAGGAAAGGTCCAGAGTACAGAACGTAACATGTATGAGCATGTGAAGTTGAGATCTTGGTCTCAAGATTGTTTCATTCAGTGCAATTACATCCTTCCCACAAAGTGCTTTGTACTATGAAGAGGCTGTGGCCAGTCACATCAAAATTGGCCATTTTTCCCTGCAGTACTCTGTACCGTTCTCAGCATTCCTGAACATACAGTGATGCGGGAACAAGTCAGGATCTGCTACAGAAGGGTCAAATAGATGGTCTGGGGCAGATCTGATCTGAATGCCATGTTGGTTAGTATAAACTTGCAAAGGATCAATTAATCCAAGGAAGTATGACTCAACTCATATTAAACTCCTGTGCTTACACGGATGAAGTGACAATCATTAAGGGTGTGCCCAGGCTGGTGAAAGCATACATGTCTTTAGCCAGCTGATTAAAGTCAGAGGCATCGCTGATGACAGTGCGTTACTACAAAAAACACCGA